TATAGAAAACAAAACAAGGATCTAATAATGCCAAAATAGCGGCCTTTCTTCCACATTGGAAAATTTTAATAAAATATTTGCTACTCCGAGCACGGTTTGAGAACTACAAAAGCCTTATACGCGCTATTGGGTGAGGGTGTAAGATCCCTTCGTGCGGGTTTTCTCAATATAAACTTTATCAGGACTTGAACTGTGAGCGTCCTTTATTTCGGGTTGAAAATCCTACCAATCCTATTTTTACGATTGCTCAGTCGTGGCTTGGATTTGTGATCATTGACAGTCTCATTCGGATCCAGAGCTTTTTGGTGCTGAGAAATGATTGAAACATTAATGGAGGTGGAGCCTTCTATACGTATGCAGCGAGATTAAAATAAGAAAGCTCGCTGCTTCAACAACGCCAGGGTCTAGAAAACCAAATATCCCTGAATTCCTTTTTCGTTTCGTCGATTCAGATGGCTCGCCTTCAATAATAGTTTGTGTTATTTATGTTATTTATGTTATTTATAGACCAACCGAAGTGGCCTTTCAGAAAAATACCGATCTTTTCTGTGTATTGAGATAACTGAGTAATGATTATAGTTAGAAAATATTGATGATGGATTTAAATGCGAATATGTCGTCGGCGATGGATGCAGATGCAAAGACGATTAAATATTTATCGGACGAGCTACCCCTGCAGGTAATAAACCACGGACCGATACACCATACTGAAACGTCACCGAGATGAGATTGATATTATCCTAATCGATAGCAATGACGTGGTGGATAACTATACAAACAAATGGCTGCTAAGTTTCGGCAAGCAGTTGGTTATCGATGTAGCAATCGATATTTTCTTTCAGATCCTAAGAAAATTTGTATTTCTACAGAAATTACGGTAGATTTGTCCACAAGCGCTTGCGGACTTATTGACGCGCTATAACTGGGTAGACATTAAATCTGTAAAATCTGATTTGGAGGAAGCTATAGCTAGTTGAACATTAACCTACAATCAGTTTAACCCATTAACGTCCAAAATGTCAAAATTTCTTGCACGTTTTCAAAGTGATTTTTTCCTATGTAATTGGCGTTGAAAAAATTCTTGAACCACATATTCTGATGTAAAATTGCATGCTCTTTCAGAATCCGTTGCCAGAATCATGATAAAACTCACAGGAAAAGAGATATGCTCGATTGAAACATAAAATACACCTAAATTTTCGAAAAAAAAAAATTTTTAGGATTTTTTTTCGAAGTGTTACGGTGAAGATATCACCTTGCGACCGTGATCAAAGGTGATCATGGGATTTGAAGTTTAACAGGGAATTTTTTTGTTTACCTTGAACCATCGCTTCTTTACAAAATGGCGGAAAAAACGAATTTTTATTTTTTCAACTTTATCAATTTTTTTCTCGAAATCTATGGACTTTAGAAAAAAATTCATAAGAACAAAAATGTCTTAGAATCACTCGAGAAACATCCTAAAATTTTTTCAGAATTTTTGGAGACATTTTTGAAAATTCCATTTCCCAAGTTTCCCGAAAAATTAAAAATTGTCTCAAAAAATTCTGAAAAAATTTGAGAATGTTCCTCGAGCGATTCTAAGGCATTTTTGTTTTTATGAATTTTTTTCTAAAGACCATAGATTTTGAGAAAAAAGTTGAAGATTGAAAAAAAAAAAATTCGTTTTTTCCGCCATTTTGTAAAGAAGCGATGGTTCAAGGTAAACAAAAAAATTCCCTGTTAAACTTCAAATCCCATGATCACCTTTGATCACGGTCGCAAGGTGATATCTTCACCGTAACACTTCGAAAAAAAATCCTAAAAATTTTTTTTTTCGAAAATTTAGGTGTTTTTTATGTTTCAATCGAGCATATCTCTTTTCCTGTGAGTTTTATCATGATTCTGACAACGGATTCTGAAAGAGCATGCAATTTTACATCAGAATATGTGGTTCAAGAATTTTTTCAACGCCAATTACATAGGAAAAAATCACTTTGAAAACATGCAAGAAATTTTGACATTTTGGACGTTAATGGGTTAAATAAATATGCTCCATGGTTTGGACCACAGCTGCCGCAATTGGTCGATAAGCGCAATGCTACCCATCGACTCATTAATAAATTTTTTCGCTTCAGCAAAGAGGTTAATGCTCGCATAGATTAAGAGCTTAACATCTTCCTAGACAATTTTGCTGTAACCGTATAGTTTTTGAACAAATAATTTTAATAGACGCTATTACTTTGATATATGTTATTTTTTCCTTATTAGTAATGTATATATAAGAAAAAGTGCTAAGAATAAAATATTCTTATAATTTTCTAAATAATACGTCAGAATTTTTTCGAAAAATTTTTTGATTTTGGAAAAATTGACCTATAACAAAAACAACAAATTTTCTTTAAATCCTCTTATAATTTTCTAGTATATTCCTTACGTGATTCTAAGAGCTTGTTCTTTCTTGATACATGTTTCATAAGCTCATAGTGTTTTAATGAAAAATTCATGAGCATAATGGACATTCGCCGTGCAATTTTGAACATTTCAGGTGAAAAATCGATCTGGAAATCAGATATTCATCATATATAAATATTTATTCCATCGGTTAGTGAGCTTCCAACATTAGTATACACAGAAAACCTTTCAAAATCTTTATTTAAAAGAGAAAAGGTGTGAAAAATTAGTTTTTTTTTTAACTACAATTTACCCAGATAAATAGTTTTTTGCACCAATTTCGGAGAAACAATCGGGAACAGCATCTCTTGAACTTTCAGAATATCATCCTCGTAATTTTCTTTAACGCCTATAACATTAATTATTTGCACCTAAATACCGGTATAGTAAGAGTGGCGTTTTCAGCCAAAATGTGTTAAGCACATTCTTGTTAATAAATTTTGTAAATGCACTATTAACAATTTTTTTAATGCATCAAGCGCTTCAGAAATAAAAAGATTCGTCTGATCAAAATTTTAAAATTTTCTACAGGCGCGCTCTACGTTGTTTTTCTATGCTAAAATCAAAAAATTGGGTTCTTATAAAGAAATACATAGGAGACGATATTTTATCATTTTCCAAATTAATTTAACATACGGAACGCTTCCACAGGAAATCGCAAAACTTTAACCAGATAAAGTATTTTTTAATTCAGAAAATACTGATGCATAAAAAAAAAAGGTATCGATGTATTTACAAAAGTTGTAACGAAAGCTCGTTCGTTAACCATTATTTAAAGGTGGGCAAGTGAGGCGCACTTGCTCCTAGCAATTGAGGCGGGAAGGGGGAAGAGGCAATGAAATGAAAATGGTTAATGAATTATACACACAAAACACCAATTCGCATTTGAACAAATCTAATCAAATCAAATAAAAGTTACATTGCACTTAAACTTCGCAATACCGCACATTAACAAATCGCATAAGAATAAACCGCATTACACAAACTCTTAATCTAATAAACACAACGACATTCTTAACACCTATTTCAAAGAGAACAAGTTAACTAACTAATCGCGTCTACAAATCTATAGAAAATAATGCGCGTCGCCCGGCAGATGACCCGCTTGACGATGAACCGACTTAGGCTACTTAGCTAAAAGAGAAAGTCGCCCGGCGAGGGATCGCCTGGACGATTTCTCTTTGAGCGATTTATTACCCCGACCGTAATTAGGGCAGGTAGCCGGCGTGTACACGCCTTGCTACCCACCTAATATTCAAATTTACGTACAGTACCGTCGTTGAAGGGAGAGAGAAAGAGAGAAATTAATGTGCGAACTTGACCTTTGATGCTGGAACGGGAGTCCTGGCTGCGCCCTGCGCACGATGTTGCAGGTCGTCGCTGGGCAACTCCTGCCGGCTTCCCAGGTAGCGTCCCGAGCAGATGCAGGATCAAGTCGTCTTCTCCTCTCGGTTTTCTTCTTGGCCCTTTGTCCTCGGCTGCACTTCTGACTTTTTCACCGCTGGCTGTTTACCGTCTTGCTCCGATCGACTCGGAAGACCTTCTCACTCTGCCCTCGACTTAACACCGTCTGTGTCGCTCGTTTTTCCTCGCGATCTACAGCTTCTTCGTCGTTCTTTTTCTCTCCCCACTTGACCTACTTATTAGGCGGCGCACGACCAATGCCCCCAACTATTTCTCTCTCTCTCTCTCTCTCTAACACCTCTATACTCTCTGTCGCCAGCGTAGCAGCTTCGGGGCTGCTCGGCGCCGCTCCGCAATCTCCGTCAGCTGAAACAGAGACCATGCATTAGACGCATTCTTAAATGCTCCCAACGCTGGTCGCCGTGCCTTGCCGAGAGAGAGGGGAATTTGGGAAAATTCCGATGAGATCAAGCGCAACGCTTGCTCTCGTCACAAAGTTATTAACAAAAATATATTTAAACATCGATGCTTCAGCGCGATATCGTTCTTCTAAAACGTTTCTAAAATTTTCTTTAATCAATATCAAAATTTTTAATTTGATACATGTTTTCATGGTACCTTAAGAAATAATGTGTTAATAAAAATAATTTGATTTTCGAAAATTTGTAAGAGTCTTTGGACAATTTGAATTGTTATTTTTTGTTAAGATTATAATTTTTTATAAGCAATGAAAAATACTTATTGGTTTGTGGAAAAAAACTATTGGAAACTTTATACTTAAAAAAGTATCGCTACATTTTTTGCTTTAATCCATTTATAATGTTTAAAATAGAAGCGGGTTGGACTGATGAAATGCTTTTTTGTCGTGCGAAGCCTTCTTTGACAGCCATTGAGCAAGAGTTAATGATTTTTAATAGATTACTTTTGAGGGGAAGAAATGTAAGCCATCGCAAGTACACGTCATACTAATGGGAGTTTCTTGTTGCTCTGATTGCGTCATTTTAATATACTATGTTAATTTCTATGCTATACAATATATAATACGGTGGCGCATCTTACAATGCTAATGCTCGTGATTATTGGTTTTATGATTTTTTAACCTATATAAATATTATTTATGATTACTGAAATAATAACGACTTTTATTCAAAACTTTTTTTTAGAATGAAACTGATAACCACTCAGTTGTTGAATATCAAAGAAATAGCGAAGATACATCAATTCTTGAATCTAATGAACGAATGATTCAAGATAATATCCAATCACCAATAGATCATTCGACTTCTAGGGAAGATTTGATTGAATCTATTAATGAAAAAGATACAAATAGAACTCTTGAAGATAATTTTGAAAAAATTGACATCCATTTGAAGACTTGTGAAAGTAAGTTGATTTTTGATTGATTATATTATAATATGTTATTACTTTAGTCGGTTTATAATTTTGGTAGTGACAGTGTATTAATTTATGTATACATAAATGTAGATTGATTTTTTTATGTTCTCTAGTCCATAATGGAAAATTACTGTTTTGCATAATTAACCCATTAACGACCAAAGAGGCCAGTTTTTGGACATATTTTTGATGGCAAAATTCATTTGTAAAACGAAACAATAAATTGATCCAGGGTACCATACCTTTTTTTTTGGGTGTGCTGAATCTAAATCCGGGCTCAAAATTCAAAAATTTTGCTTACATAATTAAATATGGCCGGTTTTTTATAAAAAAATAGGGAAATTTTGAAAAAAAAAAATTTTTTGGAATTTTTTTTCTACCATAACACATGTCAATATCGAAATCTTTCTTAAACCATGAGTGCACAAAATTATTGAACATTAACAGAAAATTTTTATATTCAAAGTTTTTTTTCCAAAATGGCGGAAAAAATGCCAAAATCTGGAAAAAAAATGCGTTTTAGGTTACTATTTTTTTCTTGAAAACTATGAGGTTAAGGAAAAAGTTTTACATAACAAAAATGTCTTATAATTTGTTAAGGAACACTCTAAAATTTTTTCAAATTTTTTGAAAATTTTTTTTAATTTTTCAAAAAATTACAGAATTGAAAATTTCACAAAAATTTCGAAAAATTCTGGAAAAATTAGAGAGTATTCTTTGACTAATTCTAAGACATTTTTGATATTATAAATTTTTTCTGAAAGCCTATAGTTTTCGAGAAAAAAATTCTCAAACAATTGTGGAAATTCTAACCGTTTCACTTTTGGAATTTCATAAGATAAGTTGGGGTGTAAACGTACCGAAGTTTAATTTATCAAGAGGTTCTAAATAAAGTATTGCGTAAGTACCTCTAAAGTGTGACTACTTTTAGTTTATATTTATATTTTACTGTTAGCGTAACCCAGAGACAACAGCGTGGACGTAGTAAAATCATGTCTCCTTCGAGGTGCTTATTTATAGTGAGTCCCCTTGCCTCTCACTCCTCGGGGTGCTTTTTTATAGTGAGTCCCCTTGCCTCTCACTCCTCGGGGTGCTTTTTTATAGTGAGTCCCCTCGCCTCTCACTCTACGAGGTGCTTTTTTATAGTGAGTTCCCTGGCCTCTCACTGTAATCAGACATGCTTTGCTTTCATGCATGCACTGCAAAAAAACAAATTGCACTTCTCACAGTACATATATGTTCTTATTGGACAAATGGAACACTTGTTCTGTTTCTTTTTTCGCATTGTTATATGCTTTTCCTTATTTTTTTCATCATCATGAATGTAACTTTTCGCTATTGACATTGCAAATTCTTTAGTTCCAACTTTTTTTTTACTATCATCAGCAGCATTGAATATTACAACTGCATTTGTAATTGCTGCTTGGATAAGTCTAATGAAAACCACCCACGTCCACTTCTTTAAACGAATACTTGGCAACAAATTGTTACAGTGACCGTCGTGTACATCAACTCCACCCATAGACTGATTATAAAGATAAAAAGCTTGCGGAACTGGTATATCGACTTTTTCTTTTTCGATCGAACTGTATCTCATTGCTGATGATAATGGAGTGACCCCTGCAGCTGTAGATAGTATTGATACTGGCTTTGAATCCATAACCGTGATGTAATTTATTCCAGAGTTTTTTTCATGCTTTACTGCATATGTTCCACGTGGAGCCTTTTTATGAATGACATTTTTTACTGGGACACGATTGTCTCTAACAGTTCCAGTACATTTCAATTTTAATCGGTTTAAATGCACAACAAGATCTAAATTTGTAAAGTAATTGTCAAAATAAAGATGATAAAGAGGAATTTTTGCATCAGAAGTCAATTAAAAAAAAAAAGGCTTCAATAAATGTAAAACCACGCGAGATCCTAAAGCGCATTTAGATAACTTATCTCCTATTACAGAGTTCTTTCCACAGTATAAATCTATATTGAATAAGTATCCATTAGCAGCGCACAAACCCCAAAATTTAAGACCGAATCGTGTAGGTTTTCCTCGTATAAACTGTTTCAAACATGTTCTAGCATACGATTTAGCCATCATTTCATCCACTGATAAAGCTGATTTCCAAAAGCCAAACTTCAGAATATTCTTTTGAAACAGTTTCAACAAAGCACAAACTCGCCAAGCCTTATCTTGTGGATCTTCATTTTTGGCCTTTGAGTATTTTAATTTAGACTTTATCATTTCAAAATGAGATCGTGACATTGCTGAAGAAATTTTTTCACAAGATAAAAAAGGGTCAGTTGACCAATAATCTCTTTGAGATTTTCGTTTATTGAATGAACTTGTTATAATGATTCCAATAAATGTATTTAGATCGACTAATGATAAGTCGAAATGATTTTCCTTACATGCATCGATAATATAATTTTTCATTTCAATAGAAAAAAAATGTTCAAAACAGTTCTCTTGGATCACATTTTCTAATTTTTTCTTTTGTAGATCTAGGAAATAATATTTTATCTTCAATTATATCAGAATATATATTTTCACCATCTACCCAATCAAATTTATAATCTTTTTCAAGCTTAGCTTGATCAGCTTGATAACTTTTTGAAACTCTCTTGTAAGTAGCTTTCGGTATTTTTTCATCACGGTAATTATCTGAATCACTATCTGAATCATTTTCAGAATCTGACGAACCAGAATATTCTGCATTTGGTATTATGCATTTTTCATCATCGTCTGTGGTGCATGATTCAGATTCACTTTCAGATTCAGAAGAAACAGCACTTCTCCATCTTTTTCGAGGCATTGCTAGTATAAACACGAAAGTGTTAAGAAAATCTCCTAATTTCAAAGGATAAATTTGAATAACTTTTGAGTTGAAAAACCACGTTATGTTTATCGACTTCAATCGATCTGCCCAAATAGGTTTTGGTAAAACTTTTCTAAGAGAAGAGATGGGCTACGCTGAGAGTAAAATCTAAATATAAATGTTATGAGCACTCAAGTAATACTCAGGTAATACGATTTTTTCCTCCAACCTCATGGAGAATGGAAATCCCGAACATTTGCACCCCAACTTATCTTATGAAATTCCAAAAGTTGAAACGGTTGAATAGAATTTCCACAATTCTTTGAGAATTTTTTTCTTGAAAACTATAGGTTTTCGGAAAAAATTTATAAGATCAAATATGTCTTAGAATTAGTCAAAGAATACTCTTTAATTTTTACAGAATTTTTCGAAATTTTTGTGAAATTTTCAATTCTGTAATTTTTTGAAAAATTAAAAAAATTTTTCAAAAAATTTCACAAAATTGCAGAGTTTTTGTTGACAAATTATAAGTCATTTTTGTAATATAAAGTTTTTTCCCGAACCTCATAGTTTTTGAGAAAAAAAATACTAACCTAAAACATTTTTTTTCCAGATTTTGGCATTTTTTCCGCCATGTTGGAAAAAAAACTTTGAATATAAAAATTTTCTGTTAAAGTTCAACAATCTTGTGCAGTCATGGTTCAAGAAAGATTTCGAGATTGACATGTGTTATGGTAGAAAAAAAATTCCAAAAAATTTTTGTTGTCAAAATTTCCCTATTTTTTTATAAAAAATCGGCCATATTTAATTCTGTAAGCAAAATTTTTGAATTTTGAGCCCGGATTTAGATTCAGCGCACCCAGAAACATAAGGTATGGTACCCTGGATCAATTTATTGTTTCGTTTACAATTACAATTTACAAATGAATTTTGCGATCCAAAATATGTTCAACAACTGACCTCTTTGGTCGTTAATGGGTTAATATAATTGATATAATTAATATAAGTAACATAATTAACATAAGTAACATAATTAACATAATTAATAAAAGAACATTAGTACGAAAACTATGTTTTAAGAAGAATTCTCAGTTGTAATCATATCTACCCAAACCGTCGAATAACGATGATTTAGAAACTAATCTACAAGATCATTAAAGTATTATGCAAAACAAGAAAAAACTGATTGCATTAGGGTTTCCATTAACATTTAATTTTCCTATCGTTTTGCATAGTGTTCATAAAATATACTCTATACATCGCAATGAAGTAAGTTTCCTTAAGAGGTGCGCGAACCCACGTACGCACCCACGCACGCACGTACATACACATACACCTTCACATAAATTGGAAGAACGTTGATAGGAAATGAACGAGTACGAGCGAGAAAGAGAGGTGAGTTGTGGAATTCGGTAGTCATCCAGCCTATGCAGTTAAGGAAAGGGTGGAGCGCGGCATGCAAATTATGGCTAGCCGATTAGTATAGCTTCGACCGATACCTAATCAGCTGGAATTTTGGAATTCACTAGCTAACGAAAGGAAAAGGACGAGCTGAATTTGGCAAAATGGAAGTGCAACTTTTTGTGGAGTTAAGAGCGGCGCGTAACAGAATTCAGAGAGTTCAGTAAATCTGTGCCAGAGATCTGTGCCAGTAATCGTATTCGCTAGGAGTTTATCCGCCTTGCATTTTTATTAAAGATGGTGACTCCATAATAAAGTGGTTACTTGCTGTGTGCAGAGAATTTTACTCGCGCGCTAGTTTTGCAACACCAGTATTGAATACTCAGATGCACGATTTATTTCCACCCTCGTCAAAGACATTGCTATGAGCAGTGACAATTTTAGCTATGATGCGAGTTGCGATAATATAATGATAAAGCTGATAATCATTGGCGTGCTATGATGATCAAAGCGACGAATGATCTTGACTCAATTGTGAATATTTAATACAGAAATATATACAAAAATACTTACTTCAAAGTTTCAGTACTTCTAATATTGCAAAGCTTTACGTAATCTATAGAAATTCAGTTTATTGCAACATTTGAAAATTATATTACTTAGCATTACAATGAATAATTTTGCCGTTCCCGTCAATAGAAATGCATATTTATTTCGTAATTAAATAAAAACACAAATGAAAATAAATAAAAAGTGTTAAAAATAAAATGT